TGCGGAGTCCGGGTTTATAACCTACGCATCACGTTCGGGACTCAGGATTCCAACCGTTCGGTGTTTTTAAACAGATTCAGTTCTCAGCGCCTGTCGCTCCTCCACGGCGTCTTCATTCCCGGACTCTGTGTTGCAAATCCGTCCCTGTTGAGCAGGATCTCGTCAGGACGTAGGCTTTCCTGGGTCCCGCGTGCTGTTTGCTCTCATGAAAGTGTCCGCAGCTGACTTGCAGGGCCGGCCCCTCTGCGTCTCTCCCCCGGGACCCTGCTCCACTGCCCGTGGCCTTGCGTGTCGCTGTAGAGAAGCCGCAAGCCAGTCTGATCTTTTGTTTTCTCCTCGTAAGTGTCTTGTTTTGTCTGCCCGGTGGGTGAAGTTCAAAAGCTTAACGAGGGGATGCCTCCGCGCGGAGGGTCCCACAGCAGATCTCGCTGGAACGTGGCGTGCTTGCTTCGTCTTCTTTGGGTTTGCGTCTGACCCCTTCTTCTGGGTCAGTTCTCAGCTTTCCTTTCTCAGCGATTCCGGGAATCCACGTGTTGGACGCTCTCTGCCTTCCGCATCCATTAGCTTCTTTTGGATGGCCGTGATCTTTGTCTTGGCCCCCGACAGTCCCTGGGGCGGTCTGTTTCTACTTAGGTTCTGGTTCGGTCCTGGATTCGTTCCCTGGGTCTCCAGGCTCCCTTTTCACCTTTACTCCTGCGTGTTATCTATTTTCAGGTCACGTTTTATTCAGCCGTGTTCTGCACGAGGGCTTCCTGCTCAGAGCACGTGCGGGGGGTCCCTGGTACTCCTGGGGGCTGCCCCCGGGCTGCACAATACGCTGCCTTCCTCTCTGCCTCCTTTAGCTCTGAGAGGGTGCTTGCTAGGTGGCCGGGCCGTCCTTTTCATCTTGCTCCCATTGGAGAGGCTTCGTCCGGATAGTCCATGGCTGCGGCAGAGGGAGGCGACGTCTGCCCCTGCTCTGGGGCTGAGATGGGCTGGTCCTCCGGCCGTGACGCGAGGTCCCGGGGGTCTTCGTCTTCCCCTTTTCTGTCGCCTGGGGGAACACAGAGCTCAAGCTCCTGAGAGGCGGGGAGCAAGCGGTCTGCTCTCGACATGCGGCCTCTATTCAAAGACCTGTGTCAGGGTTTCCTTCATCCCTTTCCCCATTCCAGAAAGGGATACCCCGCTTCAGTAGAGGCTTCATCTCCATCAGAGTACCCACCGTGCTCTCCACCCATCCCATCCATTTCTGCCCAGCATCCAGAGCCACTCGGAAGAGGGATAGGTAAGGAAGCCCACTCAGACCTGCCGAGAAGTCGCAGAGGGCGGGACGGGAGCCAGGCCGTGTCTGCTACAGTTTTCTGTCTGAAGTTCACGGCTTCGTCCACCCCCTTCCACTTGCTGAGACGCAGCTGGTGCATTTGTTTACGCCTAAACTTTCATAATCGTTTGTTGGTTTTGTTGGGAGAGGGAGAGTCTGACATCTGGCTTCACACTGTCATTTTTATCCAGAAGTTCTTAATTGATGCTTTTAAAAAGTAATAATAATATTGAGGTGTCAGTCATCATCATCATGTGTCTCTTGCCTCCTGGCTCTCTGGGGGCACCTGCGAGGAAGTGCTGTGTGATGATTGAAAACCCGGGTTTGGGGTCAGACACTGCGGGGTGTGATCCCCTGCTCCACCACTTGGTGCCCTGTAGATTCGAGGGGTTACTTGAACTCGCCACTGCCCAGTCTTCTCATCTGTAAGACGGGGTACTGTGTGTACCTAGCTCATAGGGTTGTCTAGAGCATGTACATGTTGGTGCCCAACCGATGATGCTTACTCTTTGTACTGTGTCACCCCTAACCGCGATTTCTTGGTCATGGAAATCCCTTGGGGACTCGGAAATGGCTGTGACCTGGAGCAGACCTCGAAGTATTCCTGGGTCTGTGGCCATAATTGTCTTTAACAGCGATCCACTTTCCCAGTGACAGATATACACATACTCAGCCCCACCCCTATGCCCCGTACACCGGAGCCCTTCTGATCTTGTGAAAATCTTTGTTTTCAGACTGTCACTCAGAATTGAACCGGGAAGCAGCTCTCCGAGACTCGTTTCTTCCAAGGAAGACCTTGCAGGTATTGTAGCCACACCACATCGAGTGGGGGCAAAGCTGCTCATGGCCCAAACATGGCTGCCAGCCTTGGCCTTGACCGTGGAGCCCAAGGGTACAGTTCAGTTTGCAGGTTGGCCGACTGAGCTATCCCTGCTCCCAGCCCTCTCACACCAGCCTTCCAAGGCTCCTGATCACACGGGCCCCTGGGGGATACCTCTGGGCCGGGACTCCCGGGAAGAGCCTGGGGCCCAAAAGCCCCAAGAGAGGCAAGATCAGAACCCCAAGTCGGGAGCATGCAGGGTGGATAGAGAAAACCCCAGGATCTTCTCATCAGGCCCAAGGCCCAGGCCCGGTTGACACACCCTGGAGGGGTACGAGGGTGCCCGGGGTATTCGATGCCATCAGATGCCTTCCTGGGTCATCGGTTCTGTTCAGACATTTGGGACACACGCAGCGTCCCCTAGTGGTTAAGGGCCCAGGCTTTGAAGTCCCCCTGAGCTGTGCTGTTTCCTAGCTTTGTCACTTTACCTCTGTGATCTCGGTGGCCTCATCCACAAAGTGGAGGTGGTACTAGCACTCGCCTGCGGGGCGAGGTCCCCCAGCAGGGCGCTCTGCCACCTGGGCACGTCGTGCAGGCGCCTCGTCGTTGTCACTGTGATGGTGCCCTCTCAGCGTTCCAGCCAGCTCTGAGTGATGGGCCGATCTCTGCCGCTGCTCAGGGAGCGGCCGGATTGGTGTGTGTGGGGGGGTGGGGTGGGGGAGACACTAACACCGCCCTCACGGGATTGTTGTGGGAATTGACTGAGACCCCGTGTGTAAAACCCTTAGCACCAGCCCTGACACGTGAAACGCTCATCAAGTGTAACATCCATTATTAGGACGATGTTACTGTTGTCAGCATTATGATCCCGCCCCTGTGAGCGAATCACCCTTTAGTTTTAACAAGATGTCACCGCCTCAAGGAAGCATTTGTTCCCGCCCTTCCCCCACTCCAGGTCAGGCCCTGTCACACCTGGCCTTGGCAAACTGTGGGCCAGATCCACCACCCCTGGGAGCACAGCACACCCATCTGTTGACCTCTTGTCTGTGACAGTTCACTCCCCGGTGGCAGGGTTGAGGGACAAAGACCCTTCAGCCTGCAAAGCCCAGAACATTCACTAGCTGGCCTTTGGCAGAGTGTTCGCTGACCCTGCTGCGTTCCACCCTCTTGCAGCCGTGTGTCCGTCCCCGTAGCACTTCCCTCTGTCTGTCCCAGACCGCCATCACCACCAGACTGAAGCCCCCGGGCTGAGGACCCGGTGTGGGGTTCTCAGAGCCCGGCCCGCAGGGGCACTGGGTAAATACGCACGGTCACCTACCCTCATCCCTTCAGCCCCAGCCTCTGAGTTCCTCACTGGGCCCTGTGGGCACCTGGTTCTCGAAGGCAGCTCGGGAGTGGCCGACTGCTGACCGCACGCCCTCCCAGAGAAGCACGGACTCAGCGGTTCTCAGGGAGCGGACCCCTGGCTGCAGCCTTGGAGGCAGGATATTAAGGTTTCCATCGATTACTGGCACCGGCAGTGTCTGGAAGGCTTTAGATGTCCCTCAGGGGTCCTGGCTTCCCACCCGCAACCTCAGATGACAGAGATGCTTCCGGGGCCCACCGCGGGGTCCCATGGAGGGCGGGGCCCCCAGGGCAGCTCCGGGGAGGCATGCCCTGGTCTGGCGGTGAGACCAGGCTGCGTTCACGTGGCTGTGGGGACAGGAATGTGGAATGGGAGGAACGCAGCCTCCCTCAGCCCCTCCTCCTTGGGAGGGGGTTAAACTTCCACTCTGGGCTCTCCTTCCCACAGTCAGGCACCCCCACACCTGCCAGGGAGAGGCCTCAGCATCCCAGCATGCGTTCATTCTTTCCTTCCCTCAAGGCTTTTAAGCCAAGGGCCTGCTGTGAGCCAGGCACTTGCCATGGGCCACGTACCCTGCTTCGCAAGGCGAAGACCCGCCCATGTGGAGCTGACACTTTAGTGAGGGAGGCGGCAGCAGAAGCCACTAGGGGGTGAGGCGTGACGTGTCGAGGAGCTGAAAGGAGACCAGGGCGAGCCGCCTGGCCCTCTCTGCAGCCGCGTCCACTTCTCTAACCAGCTCGCCTGCCCGGGACGTGGGAGACACTGGCATTGGGGCAGCCCTGGTCTTGGGTCCCTCTGAGGCCTCGGTTGGTGTCAGAGTGGCCCTGGGCCGAGACCGCGCCCTCTGTCACCCCACGGAGGGCTGTCCCCACCTCTCACCCCCGGGAAGTTGCCGTGCCCGCCGTTCCACACCGACAAAGAGACGGACTGTGAGAAAGGAAACGGAGAAAGCTTCTCAGTTTCTGCTCCGTGTGGGGAAGAGGGGC